CAACTTGGTGTTCGTAAGCCTCTTCAATATCTCCTTGTCCTAAGTGAATGTAGTGTTGGCCTCCTTGTACACCAATATATATCCAAGTCACAACAACAAGAAGAAAAATTAACATATGTAGTATCATCATACATTAGTAATTTTTAAGTTAACCAACTAGTGCAGCTCTGTTAATTGAAAAGTACTGCACACAGGAACATGCAGACCACAATCCACAATCCCTGGTCATATGTTTCATTACTCAGAAAACATGACAATAAGAGAATGGCAGGAACACACGTACAAATAAGCCCTTACCATGTCATAGCCAGGTACCAAATATGTGTTTTCTTGTGTTTACAAAACTCTTTTCATTTCAGCACATGATTGAAAATACTAGAAACTATTAGTGCATGTCATTGAATATAGATCAGTGATACCAAAGAAATCTAAACTAAATCAAAAGCCATTAAAATATAAAAAAAAAAAAACTGACTAAAAGTGCCATGCCATATAGTGTAGAGTTGCTTGTAAGAAGATTTATATGAAACTTCAAAGCACACTTCAGAGAACAATAATAGCGCATTGGGACATTAAATAACCAAATTAAAATCAAGTAGAGAACATGAGTTGAAAGGAGAAAACATGATAATAGGTGACCCATGATAATTGTGGCTTACCATTCATCATTCGGTGCAGGTGAATAGGTGACCCGTGATATGGAAGGTCGTGTTTTCTTAGAGTTAACAAATGGGAAATTTCCTAGGATATGGCTAAAATTCAACGAGTTTTCCAATCTATGACCTAACTAGTTTTTAGACTTTTGTATGACTGAAAATCAAAAAAAGAAAAAGAAATCTCGTTTATATTTAATGGTTTAATGACAAAAATACCCTTATTTGAAATATGTGAATTTTGCACTAATTTCGTCCAATTAAAATTACTGCATTTTATATTGCTATCAATGCACAACATTAATGCATGACATTACTGCACTTCCAATAATAATCACTACATTTGCGTAAAAAATAATTCCCTTCTCATTCGCTTTAGGAATTTATTTAGTTTTTTTTTTGTTTTTTTTAATAATTTTATTATTTTACGTCTAATTAAGTATATTGCATTTTTTTGCTTAAAAAAAGTATATTGCATTATTGTGGCATTACTGATATGCATTATTGCATTACTGAGCATAATCACTGCACAATAGACTTTCTTAATACATTCTTTCAATGTCATGTACAACATATCTATTATCATATCCAGTGTCAATAGTCAATGCTTATTATTTTGTTCACTGTCAATGCTCAATGCAAATATTTAATGTTCATAAATCCAGCTGACAATTAGCGGGTGCACTATCGATCCCAAATTTCAATATCTGCCGCCCATAACCTTTTCCATGAACATTCAACATTATCTAGCTTTATGGAATTGATTTCTCCTTCGTAGAATTAGAATTCCATCAAAACTCTCCTAAAAAACAATTCCATCAAAACAAATCAAACAAAGCAACTTAGGATGAATTCTATTAAAACCAAAAAAATATGTCGACACAATACGGATGAAAAGACAGCCCTCCTCTCCATCCTAATAAATGATAGGGACTACTCCGTATGAATTAAAATCAAAATACAATTACTTTTCAAGATGTGGTTGACCAACGTGCTCCAAGGATATGTGCGAGAGATGAACGGCGCACAAACTTCTACTGATGCAGTAAACTTTCTACCGAGCATTTGCTAACCAGACGGCAGCGGACAACATGCCATGATGCGGCGGCAGACGGCGGGCCATGGGCGGCGGCGGCAGACGGCAAGCTATGGGGCGGCAACGGCAGGGACGTGCGGCTGCAGGCGGCTGGATCTATGGAGGTGGGAGAATCGAGGCTAGGGTTGAAGAAAAGAATATGAGCTTAGGATTTTATAGATATAACCTAAAGGGTACATTTGTCCACTTAAAATATTTATTTATTTATATATTACGAATTTTAATTAATTATTATGAATTTTAATATTATTTTGGTAAAAAAACTAGTTAGGTCATACATTAGACAAATGAAGAAGTTTTAATCATAACTAGGGTAATTAACATTATATGTACCTCAATTCTGTATTCACCATTTTATACATTATAATTTTATCATTTTTATGTTGTTATTCACTATTGATGTAAAATTTACAAAAATTTATTAAAATTTTGTCCCATGCACTTGTGAGAATATAGTTAAATATAGTTAGAATCAAAATTAGGAGAAATCAAACTACTGCAAGAAATAAAGAACCAACTTTTTGCCGTTTTGCATTTGCCTAAGTTATAATTTACTTTGTTTAAGAAAATTTTGATGCACATGATATTAAACCTCACATTCACTGTCTTCAATGTCAAATTCATTGAGGAAGTAATTTCAAAATTTAAAATTATCACTACGCTAAAACGATATTCCATGTAGACGAGTTCGAAGGAAACTGGATTTTTTTAATAGCATAAATGTAAGCCACAACACGGATAGCCCATCTGTATGACAATTACAAGAAAGACTTGAAAGACAAGGTAGCAAATGAATGAATTTAGCTTATGTTCATTTTGTTAAGTGCCACTGTTGAATCATCGGAGCAGCACTTGACCGTCCATAAGCACTTAAGATCCACACTTGTGCTGATCTCGAGCCGGCCTCACCACTGCCCGCCTGATCGTCCAATGCGTCCAATGCGCAAGGTACCCTCCTAATCGGGAAGAGGATCCCGATACGTAAAATTTAAATTCGAAAACTGCATCAAGGAAAGCCCTTTATCGTTGGAAAAAACTTCTGGTAGATGGCATGTCAGAATATCAATAAGCCTCGTAAGTTTGATCAGAGAAGTAAAAACTCCTCACTCATCTAATCGAATCATCATTCATGCCACATTCAGATATGGTACTGCCTTGGACAGTGGGCTGTGTAAAAACAGACAGGGTTTGATAGAAAGGATTTGTACTGTGAACTAGATTGCAAAATTTTGAGATATATTCATCTAAACATAACATCTGTATAGTACAACACAGAACGATTCTACAAAGTATTTCAACGAGGCCTCAGAGATCTTGGTGGAAAATATCATCATGTGGAATTTCCAATCAAGAGTAGCAAATATTTTATAGCATCAACGGCCATCATATTTAGACCATTCCATATAAGATAAACACAATGGGTTCGAAAAAAGAAGATCTGGAGAAAAAATCTTGGGGAGTCAGAAGTAGCTGGTTGCTGTAATCACGATGAATTCATAGGGAATCCGTCTGATTTTTTTCATCATCCTCCCCACATCAAATTATACAAAACGTAGATCCGCAACGTACAGCGCTGTACATTTAAATTACCTTCAATGGTACAAATTTTCCCAGGAAAAAAAATGTTGGAAGATTATGAATGCCTCACGTTTTATGGATCGGTAAAACGCGAGCCAGAATCTCACTACCGTTTTCATTTTGGCAACGTACAGCGCTTAAAACGCCATAGTCAAAGCGTTTAAGAGACTCTAATTTGTTGCCTAAGAATCAAATCAATGCAGTAAATCAATTCAAAACTATATGACACAGACTTGAATCAATTGAACGATGCTCAGCTAAAACACTTGAAAACATCACACCCGCCATGATTCAATTGAAAAAGAGAGTAGATCAATCGGACTAAGATGTACAATGCGTACTTCGTATATCTAAACCAGAAATTTCAAGGGAATGGCCACACATCAATGGGAATATGAATGGAACCCTGATTTGTTTACTTCTGGCCACATAGCACGTCACTATATAGGGCCAACACCACAATTAGGGCTTCGTCCATTTGCCTACGGAGAGTATAATACTTTGGCCCATGTCATACAATAGACTTTCTTGACATGTTTTGGTGATTAAAACTTGGCCCAAAAGCCTATATAAAAGTTAGGGGGTGTTTGGATATGTTTTTTAAAATTGCTTCTGCTCTCTATTCAATTGTTCAAATAGGTAAATAGTGATTGCATGTGTACTCTCTAAGTCTATTACTTCTCTTGGTCGTTTTTTGGTAGTACGAAGGGGGTATTGGCCCAAAAATTGGATGGGGTCAAGACGTTGTTGGGCGTCGGCGGTTGAGTCAAGTGCCCTTGAACCGTGCAAAATGGTCGCACAAGTATTGGAGTGTTTAGGTAAAAGTGTAAATTAGAATTATTATATTTTTCTTTCTGAAATAGGAGTTGTTACTGTCATTAATTATAATAAATACTATCATGTTAAATGCACTGTACTGCAGGTATTTGGCCGTCACGCCTACAAGATGGCAGTAATTACTGCCATGTTAGTCCTATTTCGTAAATAAAAACATAGTTGTCCTATTTTGGAATTCCAAAATTCATTTACTCATATTTTAGGAAATCTCCCTTTTTTAAAAGATGCGAGAGACCAACTTCTACTTTTAGAAAAGAAACATAAGCATAATCAATTACAAGCACTCTCTTACTCCCTATGTCCCGTTTTGTGAGATACACTTTCTTTTTGGATTGTCCAAAAAATATGAACATTTTCCTAACTTGAAATTAATAATTCAACCTCTTAGCGAATAAAGGATCAAGATGATAAAAAATAAAAATGGAAAAGTTTTAGGGAGAAAAAAGAAAAATGATATGTGGGACCATTGAGAGAAGATTTGTGAAAGGTGAGATTTATGGTTTAATGTTTAGGAAAGAAAAGAAACTAACCTAGAATATCATGTCATCAACCGGTCAAGGACCAGTGAATGAAGATGAGGTTTATAGGTTGGATTACTCTTGAATTACGATCTGTGAGATTATTATAAGAAGATCGTTAAAAGGTTGAATTATTAGTTCCGTTTTCCAAAAAAGGGGGGTAGAACTTGAATTTTTCTGGTGGTATTCCGGTATCCCCTAGGGTATTTGGATATGCATACAGCCCCACTTAAGATCTCTGTTACTGGAGAATGGAGATGATCCATGATTTTATTGCAGAATGTGATGAGATAACTCTTTCTAATGCATTGTTGTTGGAATAGATAACTCTTTCTAATGCAGTGTTGTTGGAATAGATTAGAGCTACTGTTGAAGAAGTACATTTGTTCTGTCTTCAATGTTTATAATATTGTGTATTTGTGTGGTGTGAAATTCATCATTCTTCTCATGCACCATGTAGAATATCCACTGATCCACATAAGAAAGTATACGCCCTGAATCTAGTGGGCCTATGGTTCTTATAATCAGGACAGGATCACAATAAATAGAAAAAAATAAGTGCCTTACACGAGAAGCACAATCTTGGTCCTAGTAAATGCTGAAAATAAGTGCCTATATTGAACATGTTTAATTTTGAGGGTTCAACATTAAAAAGCTTCAGCCTTTGGCTTCCATATACGAAGGAGCCGGTCATAGAATGAGCATGTGGCCGCTACTGCATTCGTCTTTTTCCCCTCTATGCAAAAAGAGCCCTTTTGCCAATCTGCTCCGTACGCAAGCGATGCATGTTCTTTGTATGTTTCAACTACTTTAGGTTCATCTCCTTTTACATCAACAACTCTAAACCCATTGTGCATACATGCTGTCAAAACTAAGTCAGGTATAGTAGGATGAAACTTGATTCTCCACACTCCACCGCCCAAGGAGATTGATCGCTCACTTACAGGCCTCAACATAGATCTAACATCCCATATCCTGAGATGTTCATCGTAGCTACCTGTGAATAAGGCATTGGGATCATTTGGGTTCTTTGTGATGCAACAGACGCCCATTGTGTGGGTTTTTGTGTTCTTGAAAATTGGAGTCTTAGATGTATCGTGTCGCAAATCCCAGCAACAGAATTTGCAGTCATCTGAGCCAGAGTACACAAGTTGCGGTTGATGAATGTCAAAGGAGGTAGTCCAAACCTCAAAATCATGTGCTGTCCATCCTTGGGTTTTTAGTTGAGACTCATGGAGTGAAAGTATTGAGATTGAACCGTCTGATAGGCCGACAGTGATGGATGTGGCTAAAGGGTTCCAATCTACATTTAAGCACATGGAAGAACTAACATGATCATGAGCGATCTCTTCCAAACAATTCCCTGCAAGGATCACATTTTATTAACATATGTATTTCCTTTCATGAAAGCTTGCACTTTTGTTATTTGCCAATCATATGGACATTTTCTAAACAATTATGTGAAATAAATGCACCATTTATATATAACACAAAGGAGAGGTTTTAACCAGACTTGAAACTAACTGTAAAAGGAAACTACAGTGTTACACTGATCACTGTTGCTAAGCTTTGTGTAGACATTTGAACTCTACTCATTTCATTTTAACAATAATGCAGGAGAGGTTTATTAGTGTGCTATTGTGTATGAGAATCAGGAACCAGAACCTTGGAGGCTTGGAGGTTAAGAAGGAACGCTTCAAGGGTCTGCAAATGTTACAAATAAATAGATAGTGTTTATTTCCGAAATGTTATTTGCCATCAAGCCAGCCATTGCCTTTGAGTTATTTAGTTTCACTCTTGCGTAATTTTATTCAGTTCAATTAATAGAACAAAATTATAACCTTTCCTCTGACATCCCCAGCTCTCTCTTGGACAACATATAGAGTTTGAAATGCTTGATTAGCAGAATATAAAAGAACAACTGGACAACCTACCCATGACTTATTTTAAAATGCGGATACAATTCTGTTGAAATTTATAAAATCAATTGTCTTTAAACATCATTCAAAATCTATACTGACGAAACCCCCCCTAAGAGAAGAGAATTTGCTACTCATATCATTTTTTGCAGTAGAAGCTACTTGTTTCCTCTTTGCAGTTTGCACAAAGCTATCATCCCATGTTATTACAAAGTAACATAGTCGAGTAAAAGCTCATTTCTTTGTGTTTTACCTTGGACCTCTGATCCAACAGAAGAACATTCAAGCCGGTGCACTCGGACAAAACCATCAGCATCAGCTTGGGCAAGCAAAGGGCTCAAATTTCCGCCATCAGGACTCCATCTTATGTCAAAAATACCTGTTCTTTCTGCTCGGTGCATCAAATCGAGATGACCCTCTTCAACATTGACATCAAAGAGGCTTATACTACCGGAACGACTCGGATGATCTCCCTCTTGCAGTGTGTACGTGGAGGCTGCTAACACATGTTGAAAAGACTCTTGTGGGCAGAACTCTACAGCATCTGCATTGCCATCAAGATAGCAGTGTGCAACTTCCATGCCTGAAATTTAGAAATGCAGATATTTTAATATGCAAAACTTTGAACAGATGTGGACTTGTCTGGTGCTAGGGCTGCGCGCAGGGAACAAAGAGTGTTACTTTTAGTACTACTACTACTAGTATCTCACCCGTGCATTGCACGGGATGTATTTCATAATATTGTAAATGTAAACATATACGTGTATTTAAGAATCTGTATATGTAGCTAGAATATAACCTACTAGACATGCAACTTTCGACGCGATTTTCACCATGATTCATCCAGAAATAGTCTATTTGTACTTTAGTACAGGGGTAAGGCTGCATACATTTGACCCCCTGACCCTCCGTAGGTGAGAGCCTTTGCGGCTCTATCGTAATGGTGATGATAATGATGAATAAATATTAGAAGTTCAATAAGTAAACATTAAAATTGTTGAAGACATTTTGAATTACATTCTTTACAACTTTTTTGAATTTCCTACTTCGGCACATAGGAGAGTATAAGTTTTAGAATTCAATGTCATCTTTCCAACTAAATAATAAAAACCTTGCCGTGGAATCAAATACTCTACAACAACAACATCCAATTATTACTCCTAACGAATTTTTAGGTTAATTTATGGATCCAAGTACTCTAAGCAATGGAAACTCCAACACAAAATTATTTGAAATAGGTAAAAAAAATATAATTTTTGTATATTGACGTATGTTTTCTCAGAGAATACGGACTTAACTTATCAGGTATTAAATGACTCAACTCTTACTTGGTCTGGCCAAGTTATCGGGCCTTCTTTCAATCTGAAATTTTTATAGCTCACAAACTATTACCCATCATTTTGGGAGAATCAAGTTAAACCCCGTCTCACCCATCCCAGACAAAAACGGTCTCAGTCTCTCCCTACAATTTATAATATTAAATGTAACTTTATCATTGTCAAGTGTTTTAGTTTTTTGATTTTTTTACACTATTTAACTTGAGTGCATGGCTTGACTCATTCCCATTTAATGATACAAACTACATGTGTTCATTTTAAAAAACGGAGTACTTACATGAAGATGCATACTCTTTGGAACATGTTCACAAAACACTTCTATGCTCTATACCTTTCTGTTTTTTTATGAAAAAGAGTATCAATGTTGCTACAAAAGTGATTACGACACAAATGTCACAGCAAATCCAATGTAACAAAGCTGAAATTTGGAATATGCAAGTAAAGTCACAAAGAGGAAGAAAATGGGAATAGGCAAATGGGAATATTTATATGATCTAGAACAAATGTTGAGGAAGAAAATATGATAGTGTAAAGAACACACAATTAATTGGATTGTACTACTCTCATAGAGGGTTCTTGGTTTTGCTTTATTCACTTGAAATGTGTTGATCTTGATTTTTCAGCCTAACAAAAGACAATTAAGTGACTCCCCACCCAACCCGTTAAAACTAAACTTAACAAAAAATTGCACTGAACCTAAAATGTGTACTCATTACTACCAAGAGTATAGGTAGAGGGGCCAACCCTGACCAAACCTACTTTTTCATGTGTAAAAATTGATTTGAATGATTCTTTCGTCAGATCAAAGAAAGATTCAAACTAAACAAATCGATTTTAGATATTTTTAAATTTTGTTAGGAGAATTAAAGGAATCTATTTTAGAGATGTGATTAGATTTGATTAGGGCTTGAATTTAAAACAAAAAATTAGAATACATCAACTCACTAGCCTATAAAAATCAGTTTAATAACTTGCTCTCCAAAATTTCAATTCAGAAAAAAAAAAATGGTTCATCATTTCGTTTCCTTAAACAAAAACTATAAATTGTTAAAACTTGCTTTTTTTAAACACACTCATTGTTAGGCGGAAAAATAGTTGAGAACATGAATGCATATGAAAGTTGCATATTTTTAAAACTGATTCTTTAGACTACCTATTTTACAGGTAGCTTCAAATTCAGACCCTTTTTAGAACCTTGAAGGGAAAGTTCTTTCTGAGAGCTTTTCCTTTCTCAATAATTTCAATAATCTCTGATAAGTTATTCGTGGATCCCATTTAATGTGAGGAGAATAAAATATAAAGAGAAGTAGTGAAGAAAACCAAAGAAAAGCTCAAACTATACAAATCTATTTTCGATATTTGTTCAATTCATAAAAAATTAACTTGATATTGAGAATTAGAGCCATACTATTTACCATGTTTGTTATATCGTTTCCTTAACAAATGAATTAGCATCAATTTATTAATTTATGCTATCCCATATCAATAAATATGCATTAGCTTCTAAAATCCTAGAATTTAGGCATCATATCAAGACATTTTTCATTGAGGAATTATAACAAACACCTTGCAATCGAAACATTTACCACCAGCATTCTTTCTCAAATAGCACAGGTCAAAATATGCATAAGTGCAATGTATCATTTCATTCTCATGGATATAGAACAGCTGAGCCCGTTTCGGCATGTTGATTTTCAGTATGGTGGAATTAGACTGACCTCGTTGATGTGAGTAATTTGAAGAAGAAAAATCCTTTGGGGTGTTCTAATAAAACCTATGTAGCGATCCCAATAAAAAGTTAAAGACTATTTCATCATCAAGAGAACATGAAGGGGTTAGGGGAGATGCTAGTAATAAACAATTACCATCCAAGATGATTGCGGTAAAAGAAGTTTGAATTGAAAATCTGAGAGTGAGTGTCATGGCGGATCTGAATGCGCTTTGTAATCGGCCATGTTCACTGATACAAAAACTTAAGATGGAGAAGGCTAAGCGATAGTAATGAAAAGAAGCAAAGGGGTCATCGCTGGTGGACAATTGCATAAAAAAATGAAAATTGAAAAAAAAAACTTGTTACCTGGTTCGTGAAACACAACTACATGAATAGCTGCGGTCGAGGTGCGTACAGAGACAGGATTTCATCCGAAGGAAAATGATAGAGGACGAGTTTCGGTGCAAATGTGTAATTTGACGAAAATGACGGAAAACTCTTCTGGCGTTGATTTTAGGTGTAAATAAATAAATCGGACAGATGTAATGGGAGAATCGTTTGGGCGGGATATTACTTTTTGGTGTAGTGCGGATAAGGAGAGGATTTAGGAGTTGTGTATTACTGAAGCTCAGCTCTCGGGACTAGTATACATATACCATTTTACTATTTCTGTAAACAAATGTCTAATCAAATTAGGTACCAGAAATAATATTTTCATGAGAAAAAATAAAGGTAACACCAACTAATGTAGACATGTGTGGAGTAGCGAAAATAAATCATTGGTTTCCCCTTTGTTTTCTTAATTAATACGTAGTAAATAGCAAACCGAAGGCCAGAAAACACCGCATCCTAAAAGTTTCCTATCAGACTATCACTTCTCAGTTCTTAGTTCTCACCCTCTTTTCGCAAGTTAACAACAATAGGAATGAATATCAATAAATAGTTCTCATGCACTAGGGCCTAGTCTTCTACAAAGGCTTAACCCCACCCACTAATTAAAGACCATAGGAAAAGATGAATTAAACCCTAGAACCGACCTTAAGAGACTGCAAGAACTGATTAAAAGTCAATGTAAAATGAAATATATTTCCTCTCAGACCTCATGAACAGTCATTATTCTTCAAAAAACATCTCACAGAACCAAAAACAAACCCATCTAACATAAATTATAAACATACTCCTCTTCCGTAAATTCAATAAACATGTATTCTAATCTAAGTAGCACCGGGACGGAAACGGAAACGGGGAGGGAAACTCTAATCTCAATACATCAAGATATGGGTACAACAAGGAAACGTCGAACTAAAAATTAAATTTTTACTAATAAAAACAAAAAACCATTATATGAGATCGTGCTTATGCCCAACAAATACGAAATTAATAAACCAAATATGTCCTTGCTAAAATCCATTTTACATGCATAAAAAATAAAATGGCAAAAGTAAATGTTTCTTTCAGTATCAGCACTTTTACCTGATTTGGTAACATATTTACACAAAGTGTATTAGCAACTTGGATTCCAAAAATAGCATTGCTACGTTTTTCTTCCCAAAATAGGAGTCATTACTGTCATGATTGAAAAATAGTAAAATAATGGCATGATTGAAAATATTGTCATTAATGATAGCAAATATTGCCATGTTTAATACCCGGTACTGCAACTATTTGGAAGTAATGACAACAAGATGACAATAAATACAACCATGTTACTCCTATTTCGGGAAGAAAAACATAATAGTCCTATTTTGCATTTCAAAACTTGTTTAGTCCTATTTCGGGAGTCATGGAGACTGAAAGAACCCCTAAAAGTTACTTATGGATAAATGTGTTGAAATAAACGAAAAGACTTGGTAAAAACCTCAAACTTTGCTAATAAAAGAAAAAAGTGGATTATTTAATCTCAATTGCCCGATTATAAGCAGTACATTAATAAGCAGAACTACCATACATCACAGTCACACACATATAGAAAAAGAAAAACCCCACATTGATAAATCCTGTTGATGGTATTGGTCCACCTCTTCCTTTGGCCTTACTTCACCCGTGTTGCCTCTTGGTCCACTTCAATTAATAGGCTGGTCTCCTATTAATTACTCTGGCCCAACTTGGGCTGTCTGCCTGACTCAGCCCACTCGCCCCTTTTGTCCATACCCAGCCCGTGACCCCTTTGTGGCCTTTTGCTTAAATTGTCTGGTTGCTTCCAGAACCCCCTATTTGATCCCTTCCTCCTTCTCTCTACCCGATGAGCTTCTCTGTGCGTTGCCCCTTTCCTAGAGTGAGAGAGTGTCGGTTCTCTCTGAGTATTAGCTCCGGCTATACTCCGGTGAGACCTTGGGGTTCCTACTGGGGTCTTCACTCTGGTCTGGTAGTTTGGGGGGTTATCTCCTCCGGTGAGATTCCCGTTGGTGTGGTCTGGGTGGTTGGGCTCTTAAACTCTGAGTGTAGTTGACTGTTGCCCTTCAGTTTCCCTATTGCAACCTTGGTGGTGAATGCTGAGCGAGCCTTTGGGCTGTTGGTGATTGAGGTCTGAGCCGGTGCGTAGATCCAACAGTGGTATCAGAGCTTGGATGCCGCCTCTCACTGACGCCGGGAACTCGCCGGAGACAGGGACCATCCAAACCGGTAACGTCGGGTGCTCCGTCGAAGATTGGTAAGTCGGGCTGTCGTTTCAGTGACACCCGCTCAGGTATAATTCTGAAACCCTAACCTATGGGTTGCCGGAGTGCCACCGGCCTCTGTGTTGCATGGGTAGATCAATAACCCCAGGTTATAGGTCTGCCGAGTAGAAACCCTAGAAAAACCATTGCATGTGCAGTATCTGTTAGTACAGATCTGTAGAACCCTAGGTATGGTTCTATTGTGCATGAGTGGTCCAATCTGTGTCGAACTTGGCCACTGATTGTTTGAGAAATCTGATTAATTTGACTGTCTATGTGTGAGTAATCTTTAACTTGTCTGTTCTGTGTGTGTCTGCCTCCGGATCCTTCTCAGTATTGATTATTCTTCTGCCTTATCCGTTGTGATTATTTGATAATCTCCTGTGTCCTTTAGTTCTTCACATTCACCTGTTCTGAGTTCGTGTAATAGTGTGGCTCCTTGACCCCTAGTTGGTTAGGGCACTTGAGGTTAGGGCTAAGTGATACCCTGCCAGCCACTTTAGTGGCCCCGGAACTGTGTGGTCACTTAGTCCGCGGCCTGAACCTCTAGGGTTAGCCTTTATATTACCTGTATCTCAGCAGTTGGTGTGTTGCCTATTACCATGGCTTCAAACCTGTATGGTATGATGCCTTTTAATGGTAAGACTGACTTTGATATATGGAAACAAAAGATTAAATGTGTGTTAATCCAGCAGAAAGTGTTTAGGGCTGTTACTGGTCAATACTTAGAAACTGAGGATAAGCCTAAACAAGTTGAAATGAATGAGACTGCCTGTTCAACCATATACTTAAACCTGTCTGACTCTGTCCTTAGAAAGGTTGGAGTTATTGAGTCTGCTAAGACCCTCTGGGATAAGCTTGAGTCCCTATATACTGACACTTCCCTTCCTGGCAAATTGTTTTTATTGGAAAAATTTTTTAGGTTCAGACTGGACCTAACAAAAGATATTGATGAAAATCTTGATGTTTTTAATAAGTTAATTCAAAACATTAAGCAGGCTGGGGATAAGCATATAGATGACTATACTGCTATAGTGTTACTCAATGCTATACCAGATTCCTATAATGATGTTAAGTCAGCCATTAAGTATGGGAGGGATGATATAACCTTAGACATTGTCATTAATGGTCTTAGAAGCAAAGAACTGGACTTAAAATCCTCTAGAAACCATCATAGGGATTCTGGGGAAGCCTTGTTTGTTAGAGGAAGGTCTAAGAGCAGGTCTAGGTATCCTAAGAAGGATAATCATGATAAGGGAAATAGGCAAACTGGAAAGAAAAGGTTTAAGTCTAGGAAGAGAATTTGCTATAACTGTGGTAACCCAGGACATTTCATAAAAGAATGTACCCAACCTAGAAAGAATGACCAGGCTAATGCTGTGACCAATAAGGATGAGAATGAAGTCTTTATGGTCTGTGATGAAGCAAATTCTGTGCTTAGTAGTCTGACTGAGAGTGAGTGGTTAATAGATTCAGGTTGTACCTACCATATGACACCTTTTAGGAATCTGTTTACTTCCTACACTTTGTGTGAAACTGGTTTTGTTTCTCTAGCTGATAGTAAAAGGTGTAAGGTCCTTGGTATTGGTGACATCAGTCTAAAATTTGAAAATGGAACTGTTTTTCAAATTAGAAATGTTAGACATGTACCTGATTTAAGGCATAACCTACTTTCAGTCTCTGCTTTTGAAGAATGTGGCCTTGAGGGTAAATGGGGAAATGGGTGTATGAAGATTTTGAAAAACTCCCTTGTTTTATTCAAAGCCTTGAAACATAATAATCTATATGTTGTCCAAGCTAAACCATTTTATGAAAATGCTAATGTTGTACTCAGTGACAAGTCTGTGCTTTGGCACCAAAGACTTGGTCACATGAGTAATAGAGGATTAAACATTTTGCAAAAAAATGGGTCTTTTGGAAATGACTTGGTGTCACCTATACCTTTCTGTGAAGGTTGTGTTCTAGGCAAGCAACATAGGGTTCAATTTCCTGTCTCTAGTTACCCTAGTGAACCTAAGTCTAAATCTGTCCTTGACTACATACATGCTGATGTGTGGGGTCCTTCCAGTGTCCCTACCCATGGGGGTAGGAGGTATTTCCTGTCCTTAATTGATGATTACTCTAGGAAAGTTTGGGTCTGTTTGCTAGAACATAAGTCTGATGTCTATTCTAAGTTTAAGGAGTGGAAGGTTCTTGTAGAAAACCAAACTGGGTGTAAGGTTAGAACCCTTAGAACTGATAATGGCTTAGAATTTTGTAATAAGGACATGGATAGTTTATGTTCTGAATGTGGGATTATGAGACACAAAACTGTGCCCTATACTCCCCAGCAAAATGGCCTAGCTGAAAGGATGAATAGGACTCTTCTAGATAAAGTTAGGAGCATGTTGTCCACTTCCGGGCTCCCCAAGAAGTTTTGGGGAGAAGCAGTTAACACTGCTGTATATCTGATCAATAGGTCTCCTTCTGTGCCTTTGGGGGTAAAACCCCTGAATCTGTGTTCTCTAGAAAACCCATTGATTTATCCAACCTGAGAGTTTTTGGGTGTGCTGCTTTTGTTCATCAACAGACTGATAAGCTTGATCCTAAGTCTAAGAAATGTGTATTTCTAGGATACCCTGAAGGTGTAAAAGGCTATAGAGTTTGGGATAGAAATCAACCTGGTTTTAAAGTCATTATAAGTAGAAATGTGATCTTTAATGAAACTGATTTTCCTTGCTTAGTTAAGACTGTGACTGACCCTGAAACTGAACCAAATGGCACCCCTCAAAGTGAGGTGGAGCCTGTGCAACCTGCTGCCACCCCCCTGTTTACTGAATTGGACTCTTCTGATAATCCTGACCTTACCAACACTATGCATGATACCCACTCTACCTCCAGTGAGGTGGAGCTGCACACTGATTCTAATAGTAATGAGAATATGCATGAAGTGTTTACTGAGAATG